GGATGGTAACGACGAAGGTGGTGCCAATAATGATGGCGGATCACGTGTCAGGATAAAGATGATTTGGAGGACATGATTCGAGCCCTTGGACCATGCCATATTACAGCTCAAGTTTTTTGTGCTTTTCATCCAAGTCACAATACTTTTTTCTTGAGTGCATTATTTGCTTTCTTTGTGATAGCATGGTCCTCTTGCTCTTTGGCCAAAGCCTTACGCAAGGATTCCACCTCATTTCATTCTAATGCAAGAGCTTCCTTGCTAGCAATGTAGAGATCCTCTTATTGGATAAGAGTTTCCTCTCTGGATTCTAGCTCGGCTTGGACACTCTCTAACTCCTCCATTAGTTTAGTGATGAATAATTTGGTCTTTCCATCCAAATTTTTAGTTATTATGTTTATTTCTTCATCACTAGATTCATCATCACTAGAGCTATCACTAATATCACTACTCGATATATCACTAGGAGGTGAAGGTGGAGATTTGGATTTTGATTTTACCTTCTCACCCTTTGCCATAAGACAAATGTGAGGGGAGTAGTAGTCATCATCGGATATGTTCTTGAGGAGCCTTGGTGTAGGGGATGACTTGTGAATAGTGTAGGGGACCGTGACGCCTAAGACAGGGGGGGTTGAATTAGGCAACTTAAAAATCTAACTCTAAACTATGACCTCTTTTTCTAACCTTAGCAAAATCTATGCAAAAGATAAACTATCTAAATGTGCAACTACGGTTTTGCTAGTGTGTTGCTATCTCTACCACAAAAAGGAGTAATGTAATCAATGTAAATGCAGAAGCTAAAAAGTAAGGTAGAGATATGCAAACTCCGGTCGACGACTCCGGTATTTTTACCGAGGTATCGAGAAGCGCGCAAGCTTCCCCCTAGTCCTCATTGGAGCCCCTCGTAAGGAATCCCTCGCAAGGGCCAAGCTCCCGGTTGGGTAACTCTGTGGATAGCCTCGGGCCTTCCCCACGCGCAAACGCTGTGCTTTCCGGCAAGCCTCTCCCAGATGCTCTCCACCGTCTTCACTATCAAGCTTCCGGCCAAAACGCCGCGGGCCTTGTTCCCTCCAGTACACAGTGACGGCCACACCACAAACGCGGTTGGTGTGATCTCGCATGACTATAAGCCCCTCCGATGTACAACAATGGTGCGCGTAAGCACCGAGTAGTAAGAGATATGCAAACCTCACTAAACACTAGGCCTAAACCTAGAGCAAGCGCATAAGCGGTGGTCTAATCAACCTAAGCACTTCACAAAGCACCTACGCTAATCACCTAATGAATCACTAAGTACTATGCAAGTGGAGATCACTAAAATGGTGTATCAACACTCTTGATATGTTTCCTCAGCTCCACACGCCTCAAATAGCCGGTTGGGGGGTCTATTTATAAGCCCCACTGAGAAAGTAGCCGTTGGGAACGAAATCCCGCTTTTCTGCTACTTACCGGACGCTGATCACGTCCTGACTAGACGCGTCTGGTCGTCCAGACCGTTAGAGCTACGATCAACTGATCGGACACTGCCGGCGTCCAGTCACATGCCACCAGACACGTCCGGTCGTATTTTTGTTGCTCTAGAACCTCTCTGTACTCGACCGGACTCTGCTGTCCTACGTCCGGTCGATTTTGCCGCCAGCGTCTGGTCCAGCGTCCGGTCGCTGCTGCTGACACCTGTTTGCCGAGCCTCTTGATCGGAGCATCCGGTCACTTTCCTCCAGCATCCGGTCCAGCGTCCGATCACTTCTGTGAGCTCGTTTATTCACGATCTTGCGTACGGCTTGGTTCCTATCTTCATGCTTGGACTTTGCTTGATATCTTGGGTCTTCTCTTGTGCTTCTAAGGTCTTGCTTATGGTGTTGATCATCGGATCATCATGTTGCCTTCGTCCAAATCACGTCTTGCATCCTATTGAACTATAAAACAATCACTTGCAAATTCATTAGTCCAATTTAGTTGTGTTAATCATCAAACACTAAAATCCAAAGTAAATGGGCCAAGGGTCCATTTTCCTTACAATCTCCCCCTTTTTGGTGATTGATGACAACACGACCAAAGTAAGCAAATAATAAAAATTTGCAAATTTGAAAACTACCTACTTGCTAGGATGCAATGCAAGGGGAAATGTTATATGATGCTAAAAGATACTACTTGTAAGACTAGAAGATACCACTTGAACACTTATCTTGCCCTTACAATTGTCCCCATGTGGCATTATAATTTAAGCCTTACTTCCTACAAATTCTCCCCATTACATAGACAATCCAGTATCCAGTATCCTCCCTTTCTCGGACCATTATCACTTGTAGACACCACTTGTAGACCATTACCACTTGTAAATTATTATGATCTAGCTTTTGGTCCTACAAATTAGTGCTTGCTTTTGGTCCTCTAAATTCTCCCCTTTGGAATCAAACATCAAAAAGGAAGACATTCTTAGCACAAGGGAGGGTCAAACTTTGTGATCCTTTGTGGTAGAGTGGAATATGTCACAAAATTTGACTCTCACATTATATAGATTAAGCTCCCCCTAAATATATGCATAGATATGGTAGAAAGCAAGTGTCGATGCGGGACCCATGAGATACCCCTCAAGGAAGGGAGAAGATCTAGTCTAACTAGGATTCTTTCCATGTAATCTTAGTAGTATTATTATTCTATAATCCTACTAGAAACTCTCATTATAAACCGACTAGGACTCTGGCCTCCTGACTACATAAAGGAGGGTGGGGTTCCTGGAGGAAAGAGAGAACACTTGACCATCAATCAAACGCAAAGGCTAACGCTAACTGGACGTAGGGCTATTACTCGATCACGGTCGAGGGCCCGAACCAGGATAAATCGACTGTCTCTTGCATTTACCGTCGAGTTCTGCATACGCCGAAGCCCGAACAAACTGCCCCGGGTACCTCCGTGGTAGGCTATCGATGGTGAAACATCGACAGCTGGCGTGCCAGGTAGGGGCTTTCGGCGAATTTGCATCCGAGAGCTCGACGGACCTCGACAACATGATATTCTCGACGGGATCAACCTTCATCTTCGGTTCATGGATCTGTGAGGCAGGCGACGATGGCAAGCTCCAAAGCCGTCTCCTCGAAGATTTGGATCACCATGAAGACATTTCTATTTCGGCAACTACGACAGATCAACTCGTCGGAAGATTCACGTAGCTCGTGATGTCCGATCCAACTCAGGTTTCGTGGCTTTGCGCATCCGACTCAAACTCAGGCTCAGCATCTGAGATGGAGTCTTACCCGAGTTCTTTCGAGAAACCAAGTTCTTTTCCGGTAGGGTTCTAGAACGCGGCCTCGGTCTATCAAGGATTCAACTCAAAAAACATTCAGAGTTCTCTTGAGAGTGGTACGAGTTCTTTTCTGGCGGGGCTCCAGAGCGCGGCCTCGGCCTATCAAGAATACAACTCGGAGTACACTCAGAGTCCTTTCAAGAAGTCGGGTCTTTTTTCATTCGGACTCCACAACATGGCAAAATCTTATCAGGCACAGCTCGAAGGATCCCTCGATCCGGTGCTTAGAATGCCACTGAAAGGAGCTTAGGAAGGTCTCGTACTAACTATAACATCTCAAGACTGCATCGTCCACTGGTCAGGTTCTATTCCTGAGGATAGCGGTACCCGACTAGTCGGCACGATGACAACAACAATTCTACCCTACCAAGAAGGAGATCCAATCTACGACCTTGAAGCCTCTACTAAAGTTATCAACAACTATGACAGTGTGGAAACTGACGCCGATAACAGAACAATTCACGCACGAGAAGTATTCATGGTTTGCCGTCCTCGATCACCATTGGTCCCCCCAGAAGCACCCGACATCATGTCATCGAATGAATCTGAGTCCAACATATCACCCTTTACCTAGGGGCACGATGGTGAGACCGAGAATTAGAAGCAAGCCAGAGAAAGAAGAAACAAATTAAAATAAGGACGCCAACGTCGTGCTAGGCAGCGTAAGGAAGCTTGGATCAGGTATGAGTCAGATCTGGCCGAGTACAATAGAAGAAAAATCAGAACAAGAAGTCGAAGAAAGACGCACGGTGAATACACCCTACAATAGGATCCGAGAAGTACTAGAAGAACTCAGAGCGACCTCACATCCTAGTGAAAAACAGGAACAGCTCCGGGATTTTCTCCGGTCAACAGCCCTAAGGACACGACGGAAGGACCCGCTCAAGACTACCTGCCAGGTCAACATCTCATAAACAAAAAGATCAAAATCAAAGGAAGTCCGCTTTCGAGAGACTTGGACCAAGTGGAAGTCACAACAGAGAAAGTAGAAGGGACCATAGTCAAAACTACCGAGTCGAACAACCAAGAAAGATCAGAAGCAAAGTACCTATTCAGACAGCCCCGCAGAACTACTCTCACCAAAACAACAGTTGGCTAGAAGGAGGTGCTGAATCAGAATACAAAGAAGCCGGAACGCACGATAGATTCCCCTGTTTTGAAAACCAACTTGCTTCAATACGACTACCTCACAAGTTCAAGCCGTCCAACCACTCTAAATATGATGGCAAGACCGAACCAAGGTAGTGACTCAAGATTTACTCGCAATCGATTGAACTAGGCGGAGGAGACAACGATATCAAGACCTTGTTTTTTCCCATGGCCCTAGAAACCATACCCCTCCAATGGTTCGACAAATTGAATCCATGGTCAATCAGAAATTGGGAGGACTTGCAAAGAGTTTTCTGTGAAAATTTCGCGGGTATCATTACACACCCCATCACCCACACAGAATTAAAAAGACTCAAGCAGAAAGGGGGCTAAAGTCTCAGAAATTACTATCGACGATTTGGCGAACTACGTGCTGCGACGGCTCCATCGTCATCAACTCCACGCCGGGAAACAAGGCGCGGAAATGTGGTGTATGATACAGATCAGGAATCATCGATGTATAGCAGCAATGTGGTGTATGATACGGATCAGGTATCATCGATGTATAGCAGCAAGAAGCTACGGATCAAGTATCATCTACGATTCTACGTCAATGGAGTGGCTTTTGAGGCTTCCCAATTAAGCCCGCGGGCATACCACGGAGCCCAGGTGGCTGTGGAAGACGGTGTGCCAGCAGGCGGAGTGCATCGGCGTCGACGCCCAGGCCATCGAGCTCACGGGTCACGGCGGCTGGCGAGCAGGCACACCGGCACGTCCGCGAAGCGCGGGGCCGGGCTCCAGGAAGATCGGGCAGAGCGCCGCCTCCTCCTGTCGGCCCGTGGGCGCCGGCACCCGCCTCCTCTCGAGCTCCGCCACACACGATCCTGCGTACCGACGACCTCCGCTCAACCTCTGCCACGCCCGAGCCTACGGCGGCCTCCAGCACGGCGATCCCTAGGTGGCCCATCTCGGTGGCTTCCGATGGAAGACAAAGGCGCGGGAAGAAGGACTCCGCGGGAACGGTGTCTCCGCGCGTGGCTTCGTCCGCGTAAAGTTACGCGGAAGGGGAGGAATTTCCCAAGTCCTAAAAGATTAGGAGTTGTTGGAGAGGGTTTTTTCCTCATCTTTCTAAAAAAAACAAGGATTAGGAGGACGTTTAGGGAACTCTCGGAGATGCTCTAAGTATCATTAGACTCTTTATTAATTATATTTTCATAATATACTTATTTGATGTCACAAATCTTTATAATTCCCTCTATAACTTTGGTCAAATTTGAGATACTTTGACTCTCCAAGATTTTTAAAATGACTTATAATTTAGAACAGATGGAGTAAGATAATAAAAAATAGATAATAGTATAGATATAGATTTCTATAAATTAAGTAAAACTTTCCAAAAGTGAGATGCGTAATTATTTTGGGAATGGAGTATTGCTATATATATTGATTTTTAGGCATACTCTAGGTTTGACTCGTCACTCATAATCATGTCTATTTGGTACAGCCGGTGAAACAGTTATTATTAGCTTTGGCTCGAAAACGGCTTTTACGGTAAAGCTGGAACTATTTTAGAGAACCGTTCGATAAAACAACTTCTCCGAATAATTGACAAATGGATAAAATGGCCATAATATCTTTTTCTTTCTTTGCCTTTTCTTTTCCTCCTCTCCTCTTTCTTTCCCATGTCAGTCTCTCTTTCTTATCTGAATGCTCCCTCGTCTCCATCTCTCTTTCTTCCTCTCCTCCGCCCCGTCCTTGCTCTGGCAACTGGCTCCATGTCGCCTGTGTCGCCCTACCCCGCCCCGCCCCCAAGCTTTGCATCACCCCGTCTACCCCGTCCGCCACCCGCGTCCAGCGCGAGCTAGGGGCTACATGCCGATGTGGCAGTGGCTTTAGCGCCCGCCTGCCCTCGCACTCCCTTTGTCGACCTAGGGGCAAATCCGCCCCTAGCGGTGCTAGGGCCCACTGAAGTGGTATTAAACGGGGGTAAGCCACTATTTTCAAGTTCTTCCCGCATACATTCCAAGTGAGAACGCCATTTCAGGGGCCTCTACAGTGAAACTGTTTAGAAATCACTGATTTGGTAGGTGAAGCTAGAAATCAGTCTCATAAGCCATCCAAAATTTCCTACCAATTACCAAACGGGCCTGAGACTGTCTCCAACAATCACGACCCAAAATACAAGACCCATTTGTCTTTTGGGTAGCGCTACAGGTTAAGGGTTCAATATCTATTTTTGGTCTTCTTCAACGAAAAGACCTAAAAGACAACCCTTTCTACAAATGGGTCTCCAGGAGAAAAAATACTCAGATTTGGGTTATGCCTCTCCTAGCATCTAAAATGGGTTTTTCATATAGGTACTCTGTTGAAGGCTATAGATATTATGTTGGAGACTCATTTTAAATTTAGGTTTTGCAATGCGTCTCCTGTTAGAGACAGCCTCAGCCTTAGTTTAGGTCAGGTAACTGTTTCTTCTTTTGTTTTTGCAAAGGCTAAACAAAAACGGTCCATCAGACTAGCACTGCTGAAACCCACGGCGGCCCACGAGGCCACAACACGCCCACAACGTCGCGGTCCACCGCACGAATCTCAAAGCACCCCGCAGCCACCGGCGTGTTCGGCTGGCTTAAAGCCAGCCAGCTGGTTTGTTTCGCCACTCACAAAATTACTATTTACGTCCTACCAGAATAGTATTTTTCTCTCACAACAGTCCGAACAGTATTTTTCGATCCTGTCGAACAGGCGCCACGTTCGCCAGCCGCCACCGCCAGCTTTATCACCACGGGCTGGCTCCTGTCCTGTCGCAGGTTCGAGTATTCCACCACGCGGCGTCGCCTCCCGAATCCCGAACCTTCTCGAGGTCGAGGCCCCTCTCTCCCTCCCTCTCTCCTCGCCCCAGGAGGTGCGCACGACTAATCCCCACACGCCCCACTACTGGCTTTTCTTCCCTGTTTGCTCCGATTTAGTTTCGATGGTAATCGCCGCCCGTTCCTCTCGACGTCTCGTCCCTACCTTTCCTTTGATTTGCGAGGGATCTCAAGTCAAAATCTCTCTTTATGTAGCCGTTCAGTTCGTTGCGGGAGTACTTGAGTAGGCTCGTGGCAATCCACCCTTGCATGGTTCGATTAGGTTTTTTATCATCTTTTCCAGCTGCCATTCTGGCTAAATTATTTAACCGAACCTCCTTCGGGGCGCTCTTTGCTAAAGTTCTCCACGGCGCCCCATGCGGCCATGTTAGTGTGTTGTAAGGGTGGAGCTGCAATGATACTGAAACCATAGAAACATGATTGAACACGGTACAAGATTAACGGTTTAAACACACGGTACAGTGCCTTTTGAAATAAGAGTAATAAATAAATAAAAAAAGGAGTGTTCAAAAAAGAAACAAAAAGGGAGATAGAGAACATGTTATAGACTATAGTGCTCTTTGTTACATTTTCCGATGAAGCATCATTCCTTTCTTGGTCAAGGATGCTGCTGCTTCATTTTCATTTTTTTAATAATGCTCAGCATATAGTTATGGCCCACCATGTTCTTCCTGTTGTTTCGACTTTCGACTAGGATGTTTTTAAATAAAATTCTGTCTCTTGATATTACCAGTCTCCTTAGAAAATTGGTGTAGGGTTTTAGGTGAAAGACACATTCGTGGAGAACTATATTCTTTTGTGACCCTACGATCTTTTGCATGGTAAAATTGCTTTGTGCTTTGCCCCAACATTTTTCCCATTTATGAGACAATGATGTACTTATCCGTGTTGGACTGCAGAAAACAATGAGCAGACGCAACAGCCGTACCATCTATGTAGGCAATCTCCCTGGGGACATCCGTGAGAGGGAGGTTGAGGATCTCTTCTACAAGGTGGGTTGCAATTGTTTTACATGTATACCTTTGTCTGACTTTTCATTTTGCAAGCAAGTGTTAGATTGGTCAGGGCATATGCTAATTCCTGCCCAGTCAATAACATTTTCTGTCTCAGCAAGACAGCAATTTCAGTATCCTATTAATGTGAGAATGTAGTATGGAGCTGAATGTTTACATTTTTTATTTATGACATTAACTACTTCCGATTCCAAAATATAAGTCCATGTATTATTCTCTTAGATCACCAAATATAAGTCCATCACAACTTCGTGACATCTTTTACTCTCATTCTTCCATGTCTACACCTGCTTAAAGGCGCCTAATCAGTGCAGTACACTTGTTATCTACCTTAACTGTATGGCAACAGGGTCATTGTACTCCTTACATTAATCTTGTGCCAAAGTCCAAATGGACCATCAGAGGGAGTAGTATATTATCTGAAATTTGGTTGGAATTTTGTTTGAGTTCAATACATGTTTTTTATTGAGTTATGTCAACTAAAGAAATGTCATATATGTAGTTCTCTTTGTCTGAAGTAAACAATATTATCTGTTTTGCAATGACGTCCGATACCTTTTATTTTGTCTCTGCATCACCTATGCTTTTATTGAACCATTATGACAATGCCTTTGACTTTTTTCCCCTTCAATGTATGATTGTGCAGTATGGTCGTATTTTGGATATCGACTTGAAAATAACTCCAAGACCCCCTGGATATGCTTTCGTTGAGGTGAGCATATTTTGCTATGGTCTGATTCTGTAAGAATAGTATTCTTTTATGGGGCCTGCTTTTAAATACGTACAACTGCTCTATTACTCTGTTCAGTTTTAAAACCTATTTTAGATCATGCTTTAACCATTCAAATCAAACTGACTGATATAATTTGTTTTGATGTCACCAAACATTTGGTGCTAACAAAAAAAATGATGCTTTTATAGTTTGAGGATCCACGTGATGCTGATGATGCAATTTATGGCCGTGATGGGTATAACTTTGATGGCTACAGGTTGCGGGTATGTATAACAAGCTTTTATTTAATGATTCTCCCAGAAGAGAGGACTGGTTTGGGTTTTCTTGCATTTGCTGAAAATGCATTTTCTACTCAGGTTGAATTAGCTCATGGTGGCAGAGGTCAGTCTTATTCTTATGATCGTTCAAGCAGCTATAGCAGTGCACGCCGTGGAGGTGTTTCTAGGCGCTCTGATTTCCGTGGTTGGTACTTTTGTCATATGAGAAAGTTTCCTAGCTCCTTACACAGACTCTCAAGTTTCATTTCCTGAATCGTGCAGTTATGGTCACTGGTTTACCTTCATCGGCATCGTGGCAAGATCTGAAGGTAATTTCTTTATAATTCACTTCTTCCAGGACTTCTGCTAGAAAGAACTCATTTACTACATTTCAGGACCACATGCGGCGCGCCGGCGATGTCTGTTTCTCTGATGTATACCGTGAGGCCGGAGGTTAGTTGTTTGAGCACTCCTGAACACATTTTCTGCTATCTCATTGCAGCATATGGTTGTAAACGTAATCCCTGATTTTGTAATTATGTTTCCTAACTTATTGCTTCACTGCCCCTTTGAAGTATGAAATATTCAGGCTTTATCCTGAATTTCTACATATTGATGATGTCTGCTCCTTCTTCTTTCTTGTGCTGCAGAAACTATTGGAATTGTTGATTATACAAATTATGAAGATATGAAATACGCGGTGGGTTTAGCATGTCGTTTACTCATTTCTTTTCTTCTAATGTGAACTAAACCATTTTCTCTCATCTATTACTGTTTCAGAGGGTCTGTTTTACTGTTGAAGAGAGTGCTCTAATGAAATGTCTGTTCTTTCCTGTTTCATGTGTCATGATTTTACTCATGCATTTCCTCTTGCCATCGTGTAGATTAGGAAGCTTGATGACTCACAGTTCAGGAATGCATTTTCAAGGGCGTATATCAGGGTATTTATTCTCGTGTTTGCCCCAGTTTAGTTTTGGAAATTGTTACAATGCCTTAGATCATGTCTGTTTGATTATGAATTATGTTGATTCTTCTTGTATTATAGGTGAGGGAGTATGATGCTAGATCACGAAGCAGAAGCCGTAGCCGCTCGTACTCAAGAAGCCCCAGTTACAGCAGGAGCAGGAGTCCAAAGTACGTAACTATGCATACATGCTGACAAATTTGATATCCAAGTCTTATGGCAGCACTAATTATTATTTGTTGTTACTTAGATCTCTTTCTCGGTCACCCTCACCTGTGGATGAAAGGTACGTGAATCTATGTCAACAAGAAATGTACATTTGCGAAACTGAAAGTGCTAATATTGTTTGAGGAAAACAGATTGTCAAATAAATGGTGAAACCAATCAGATCTTGTCCTGAATCATCTTTAACGTATTCTGCAGTACACCTGTGGTGCTAAAAAATATTGAAACCTGACTTACATGTCATCATTTTGTAGACTAGCTTAAAGCAGGGCCAGGGCGCATGTAACAACTGATAGGAGAGTGCCACATTAACTTAATTATTTCCTACTATCTGATATACTCTTGTTGAACAAACAAAATGCCTGAGCTGAGAGACTGCATTGTACATACTTCTGCAAATGCAGCTCTGAATTTTTAAGCATGTGCTCTAGCCTAACCTTATAGAACATGCTGAAGGTTTGGCTCTATCACAAACTTCTAGATAAATCTTTCAATGTTGTAGCAGGGAGTATTGGATCCTTCAGAAGCTTGTCAAATTGAGAGGGTATAGAAAGAGGTGTTACCAGAATTTTACCTTCTTTCGAAACAATACTTTTGTCACCTTTTCCTGCTGTACCAGTCATCTCCATAGCATGGCAGAACCTCTTTGTTTCTTTTTCCTCATGGAAAAGCTTCAGCCCTCTCCTTATTTATCAACTTCATACATCATTAACCCAGAGCTCTTTTTTTTTCTAGTATAACAACAATTTTTTCCTGCTTTATATTTTAAAAGTAGAAAAAGACTACAGATAAAATTCACATATATTCACCTCAGATTTTAATAATAATAACATATTTCAAAAGAAAATATTTTTTTCTGCTTTTTGTTAAAGCAAGAAGAAGAAACAAAGTTCGGTGCCAGAATTTTAACTTGATATACTTTGGAACACCTCCTGAAATCACCTGTGATATGTTTTTTTGGTGTACCGTTTCTCTTTAAATTAGCATAACTTTTTGTGATGTACTGATTTCTTGTTAAATTAGTATGACTTGAATTTGCTCTGTGGTTCAATGATTAAACATACAGAGCTTGTTGGCTAACCTCCACTGTTCAAGGTTTGCTTTTGTTTTTCCTAGATTTGGCCATGCGGCGATCTGGGGACTGCATTGATATAATATTGGATGTTTTGTGAATCGGAGTGGATGGTTTGGGACTTTGGATAGTAGAGCTGGATTGTGATGCATGTATGACAAGTGGGCTACGACCAGTCCTAGGAGCAAGATAGGACTGACAGTAAGAAAATGTGAAGTGAATCTTGTGGTGTTATTAAAACAAATGTCTACTATTAAGTTCAATGACTCCATATAAATGAACCTTAATTTGTAAGTTTGCGTTTTTGTTTAACTAATGCTGCCATCTTAGTAAAAATTCCTATGGTGCCTTTTGCATTATGGCTCTCTGTAGCCATTTCCTTGTCAAGGTTCGCACTAGCCAAAGAAGTTGGCATTAACAACAAAATTCAATATACACCTTGCTTTGTTTGCTTATTTGCATTCCAGTTATGACCTAATTACCTGATAGGCTCAAAACTATATTATTTTTCTGGGAGTATTAAGCATAAACACCAAAATGTGTACTTACATTGCAGCTTCCCTCCTGTTTCAGTTCATTCATATGTTGTGGAACGTTGCCTCTTTATGCACATCTCAAGTTGCCAGTTTAGTTTTGATCACAATTTTATATACAGATCAGAGTGCTACTAACGCATCATTATGTAATGGAATTTGTTTCTGGTACCTTTTGCAGATCGCTATCGAGATCTCGATCCCCAGTTTCTTCTGTAAGTATCCCAAGCTCATTATAACCGCGTTTGTCATAATTGTCTTGTTCAATGCAATTGGTTTAACTCTTTTGCAGCCTTCTCACGCAAGATCTGCGAGCAGAAGCCCTAGGAGCAGAAGCACATCCCGTTCTCGGTCTCCTGTAATTGCAAGCTTCCAAAACAGTCACTTATTATGTTGCTATATTAACTTTCATGCTTATATTTAGTGTGTTCTTGCTGGCAGGTGAGATCCGATTGAACTTGGGAGCCCTTGAAGCAGTGAGCAGCTCCAGGGAGAAGAAAGGAACTTGAGAACATGCCGTGCCATCACAATGGTCCGAGTGATTATGTTGTTGCCAGTGCTCCCCCACATTTGGGAGGTCTCCTCTTATTTAGACGGAGCATTTAATAATTACATTATATTGCTAAAGAGAGACTTACTATGCGTAGCATACCGGTGTAGACTGAACTTGTCTGTCCTCGTGTTATTGGCTCCTGGAACTAAAGTTTTATCATTTTTTTTACAAGACTCTGGTTTTATCATTGTACCCGTAGTAAAACCTATAGATGTAGTACGGGTATGCCGTATGCGTCTATGTTCAATTGGTTGCATGTAAACCTGGATGCATGTACGCAGAGCTGTTTGGTTCCATGGTGTGTTGTTACAATGTTCCAAATTTGAGATTCTTTGGAACATGTAGCATCGTTGTGCAACTTCGATCAGATTTGGCTGAATTCTGGTAGTTTTGTTCCTTGCCCTATTGAGCCGAAGTGGGTGTGCAAAGAGTTTGCTGATTACAGAATGCCGACTCCGTATCATTTTGAATTTGGAATTGGTTGGATTTCAAGTAAAACTAACAAATATGTCTCTGGGTTGGTAAATATGTCCGTGTGTTGCATTAGGGGGAAAAAAGTCTAGCTACAAGTCTAACCCAACTAACATGGTCTAAAAGAAATCAAACATGCTGTTGGGTCTTAATTTATCAATAATCAACCATTGTGTATGCATTAGGTTTTACCATTATTCGATCATTATGTACGCATAGGTTATAGGATACCTGATTAAAGTACATTTTGTCAAAACATCACTCTAAGACAAGACACGACTCTCTAAACTCCCTCCCCTTCCAAAGCTCTCAAATGCGCTCTAGTTCTGCCCCCCTCCGTTCCGTCCTCCGGCAGCCGTGGCGGTGGTGAGAGAGAGGTAGCCGGGCCTCCGGTCTTCTAGATTAGTACCAAGTAAGTTTGTAGTTTCAGCTTTACTTAGTGCTATGTAAGGACAATGGATATCCTCCTCTCCTTCGCCCTGCTGGTGGTGGGTAGATCCCTAGCCAATGTCCGTGTGTTGCTTAAAATTGTTTTACAATTTCTGTTCATATCCTTCATCTCTCATTCTCTCCAACTTATACTCTCTGTATCACTTGTTGATCCAGGCCGGGTCGACTATGCGAGTGCTGGGCCTTCTGCTCCTTTTGAGCCTTGTCGAGGGCAAGCCTAGTGGCGAGCCCGGTGCAGGTGTTTCATCCTCTGGAACATGACTGGCGCCGCTAACATTCCCCGGGGCTTCGGAGCTGGCACGTCCCTAGGCCAGTGCTCTCGAAAACTGCTGGCGAAGAGAGGTAAGCGGCTCCCAGGTGGCCAGCTGAGGTGGAGAATGAGACCATTGGATGAGGCCGTGCTCTACAGCATGATCTCCAGCTGACCAGCGACGTTGGAGAACACGGACTGGAACCTGAAATGCTTGTAAGTCAGAAGGTAAAGCAGACGATACCTGCTGATCACCAGGAGAGAGCTTCAACTGAAACACATGAAAAACTGGATGGATCCGATGATGATGATGGCAACTCCAGTCTATAAGCAACAGACCCCAGCTTCTCAATGATTTTTAATGGTCCGAAGAAACGGAATGAGAGCTTGTTGTTGGCACGGCGCACCAGAGATGACTGTACGTAAGGCTGAAGCTTCAAAAACACCTTGTCGCCGGCTGAGAACACACGCTTCGAGTGACCTTTGTCCGCTTGACACTTCATGCGCTCTTGAGCTCGCAGCAGGTGTTGGCGAATGAGGTCCTACATCAGGGCTCTGCCAGATAACCAAGAATGCAAATCGGGCATAGGAGCGACTGAATCCACATCTAGACCCATATGACAAGGGGGGCAGCCATAAATCACTTCGAAAGGTGATTTACCTAATGATGAGTGGAAGAAAGTTTTATACCAGTATTCCACGAGGGTCAACCAACGTCGCCACCGGGAAGGACAGGAATGAGCAAACCAGCGGAGGAATGTCTCGAGACATTGGTTTACCCGTTCTGTTTATCTGTCCATCTATGGATGGTAGGAAGAACTGAGGCGGAGAGTGGTGCCTGCTGCTTTGAACAAGGACTGCCAGAACAAGCTTGTGAAGATCTTGTCACGGTCTGAGATTATGGATTTGGGCAAGCTGTGTAAATGGAACACATTGTCCAAAAACAGTTGCGCTACAGACTGAGCAGTGAATGGATGCTTCGGGGCGATGAAATGGGCGAATTTAGAGAACTTATCCACCACTACCAAGATAGCATTTGCAGACCCCGAGACTGGAAGCCCTTCAATGAAATCCATCGAAATGATTTCCCAAGAAGCTGAAGGTACTGGCAGAGGCTATAAGAGACCTGGACATATTGCGCGGTCAGGTTTGGCCTGAAGGCGGACAGTGCAAGCACGCACAAAGGACCACACATCGGCTTTCATTCCTTGCCAGTAAAACAGGCGCTTAATCTGGCAATAGGTCGCCGGTGCACCTGAATGACCTCCCATGGAGCTTGAGTGAAATGCATTCAGCACATTTTGTTGAGTAGCTGTTGGTATTTATTAACTTGTCACTTGTTTAGTAGCCACCTATTATAAATATATATCTTCTAACATTACTTTACTAGGTTGTTATCCCTAGTAATGATGCTAGAGATGCTTATTGGTATTGCATAGTATTACTACTAGAATAATACTAAATAGTTCTTTATTAATTTATGTGACTAGAAAGAATAGATGAGTGGTGTGTGTGTATATATATATATATATATATATAGTAAGGCTATTTTGCAGCTAGCCGTAAAATAACTTATTCTATGGCCACCTTGATTTACGATAATGATAATACACATTTACGATACATGGGTTACTATAATTTAAAGATGATATTTACCATAATGTTATAGTAAATCACTTATGAAGGAGTTACCATAATCTCGTAAATTAGTATAATAATTATTGTAACTCAAGGTAGCCACAGAATAACTTATTCTGTGGCCAGCTACAGAACAATACGTGTAAGGGAGACTATATTCAATAGCTAGCTACAAAATAAGTTATTCTGTAGCCACCTCCATTTACGATAATTTTATATACTAATTTACGATAATGTCAATACATATTTACGATAGTTGGGTTAAAACACATGTGGATATTTACCATAATGTTATAGTAAACCACTTAATAAGGAGTTACTATAATCTCGTAAATTAACATAATAATTATCGTAACTCAAAGTGACTACAGAATAAGTTATTTTGTAGCCAGCTACAGGGTAGTAGTTATATATATATATATATATATATATGAATCTGCAAGCGCACAGATAATTATACCATTGTAACACTTCACCTGGGAGTATTTCAGGTATTAGAAAGATCAGGTAGAATAGTAGAGAAATAATTACTAAGTCATTCTTAATTACAAGTCAAAGCATACATTGATTAGTACAATTACACCTAGTAGTCATGGCTAAGGTTATCTTTATATCTACACATAAGGGATATTACTAGGGAGAATTCCTTGTGTGCCATTAAAAAAAATCACAATGCCCTTTGTGCCCCTGAAAAAGTTCAGCGGTCTTCAGCGCCACTGCTCCAACTTTTTTGTGCCCTCCATACCACTGCCGTCAATTTGGGCTATAATGCCGTCAAACTGCAGATGTGAAAAGTCAAAAATACCCTTAAGTCTAAATATGTCATTAATTTTTTGAGCATCTTAACGACTTCAAACGAAAAAAACTCAAAACTAGAAAGTTGTAGATCTCGTCGAGATCTATAATTTTCATATAAAATTATCTTCATTTAATTTCACAAAAAAAGATATGATTTTTCTATGATATATTAATCATATCAAATCATATTTTTTTGCAGTGAGTGTAGCGACAGTTCGGAAAAATGTACTTCGGATGGATGACTTTACTCTTGATCATCCTACAAAATACTCCAACAAGAACACCAAAACTCGTGGCACGGATTAAGATAAGGGGTTAGCGGTCAGCCATTTAGAGATTTGTTGTCCTTGGGGGTTTATACAGATTTTCTAATTGACAAAGTTCAAGCAGGATGTCTATTTAATATTTTTTTGGATTTTCTTCTTTATATAATGTAGAAAGAAAAATATGCATGCATGATATACATTATTATTTTTTATGCCACCACAGTGAATACTTCCTTGGGCTTTTATACACCGAGAAATTTTTTCACATGAGGCTTAGGCTTTATGATGCAATGATGTAATACAGTCATGAAACTTTTATCTTCCTTTTCTAAATGCAATGCTAATGCAAAAAATGAATATGCTAAAGTGAAAAGTAATTTATGCAATACTAAAAAGTAAATATGGATAACTACCGATGTTACCTCACGGCCATGGTTCGGATTTTTGAGTCCTTCGGACAGGACTTGGCTAGAGAAAAGTTCTTCACTCTTCGGATGCATCATTCGGTCTCAACGATGGAGACCTAGATGGCTACACATCTTGTGATGGTGTCTCTGATGGTGATGTCACCTTCTCTTTCTATACCTTCTTGGTCTGTGGGTTTGACTTAGGTGGAGTAGGTTCATCTTTCACAACTTTTTCAGGTTCTTCATCTTGTTTCCATTCATTCTTTGGAGATAGATTCTTTCGGCATTGGGATGATCGACGTCTCCTCCTAGAGCGGGTCTTCTTGGGCTGTTCATAAGTGGTATAACTATTAAAATAACAGCGTATCTTTTCTCCAGAGAATTAGAAGTGGACTTGTCTAGATCCGATGTAGATGATTGCGTTGGTTGTGTTGAGGAACGGTCTTCCCAATATAATAGGTGTATCATCTTCTTCTTCACTCATGTCTAGAACT